TCTTTTTTGTGTTGTTTTTTTTTTAATCCTTCTGCAAGTACCAATTCGTTTTTTAATTGCATATAATGAATATGCTCCTCTTGGCATCCTGTTTTTGATTACGGACTAATTTTAATTGACAATACCTGGGAATGGAACTTCTCTGCTGAGAGCTTCTATTTAAATGAGGGCAAGCAACCTGTTATATTCATTTTTTTTCCCTTTATTGGGTTTAAATATAGCCAAGTCCTTCTAGTTATCCGAAAAATAAAATTTTACCCTACCAAACCGGTCTTAAAAAAAAAGTACTTAAATTATGTTGAAACAAAATAAAAATATGACATATGTACAGTCCATGATTGTAAAAATCATTTACTGCATTGGTGGATTTTAATTTTTTTTCATATTATTGTCCAAAATCAAAGGATCACTACAGTGTCAGGAAAACAAAGTGGTTTCCCTGACACTGCAGTGCCCTGAGGGTGCCTCCACCCTAAGTGTCCCCCTCCCTGAAGGGGTAGCTTATCTTATTCCAGGGCCTGGGCGTCCTCTGCGCTGGTGACCTCTCCTCCCCCGGCGTCAGCTCCCTCTGCCGACGTCAGCAGAGCCGAATGCCCATTTCTCAATGTTTCCTATGGACGCTCTGCGCGATGGAGGCATAATATGCCTCCAGTGTCGCAGATGCGCCTCTAGTAGCTGTCCGGAAGACAGCCACTAGAGGCTGGCTTAACCCCAAATGTAAACATAGCAATTTCTCTGAAACTGCTATGTTTACATCTGAAGGGTTAAAACCTAAGTGACCTGGCTGAAGTGGTCTGGATGACTATAGTGTGACCATTAATAATTTAACTCCTTTGTGGGACATAGCTTTTCAAACTATCATGATAGAGGATACCTTTCCTACCTCTTCGACTAGAAGATTTTAAACAAGAGGCAAACCAAACTGGACTGATAAACCAAAATCACGTCACATACAAATGAGATTAAATAGTAAACTATTATTTCATTTTTTCCCCCCTAAATTATAGAAAATATCAGCTTAATTTGTGTTTTTCTGAGTACCAGTAGGACTGTATTCACCTCCTCTAGTGTTCTACACACAGCTTTGGTTTCCATAATGGTCCTCACATGCTCCTTTATTTTGCGTAGTGCTATCTCCAGCTGTTGAGGTAAGGGTAGGCTGGAGTCAGGCACAGCTCCTGTCGCCTCTTCAAACTAAAAAAAAAAAATACAAAGGTAACAAAAATGTTTTATTTATAACTATTTATTACTTAGTTTGAATTAAAGAGATACACAAAGCACCAAAACAACTTTTAGCATATAGGTCATGCCCCTGGAGCCTCACTGCTCAATTCTTTGCCATTAAGTAGTTAAATCATTTTGGTTTCGGTTTATGCGACATAGCCACACCACCTCCAGCTGTGACTGACACAGCCTGCATAAAAACAAAATTGTTAAAAAAAAATTTTATTCTTGATTTTTGTTGTTCATGTGACATCAAAGCTGACATTGCCACAACAGCATATATAAGCAATCACAGAAGTACACATAATACAATGCGGATATGACATCCTTAACCTGCACATTTTTGCCATATAGATAAGAGTACAAGGCATTTCAACTTGTCAATGGGCTGTTACAAAGCTTTCAGACAGGGCAGAGAAGCAAAACGTAATAACACTGTACATTGAGGCCTGCCAATTTAAATTCAAAGACATGGTGATACAATATGCTTAATATGCTAAACTTCCTGTCTGAGTATAGGTTATTAGATAGATTGAAAACAACAGTAAATCATCAGACAGAATAGGTCTGTAGGATTTACCACCCCAGGTGACCCCCCCCCCGTTAGCAAGCTGACGGTCAGTGACCATGCATCCTTGGACCAGCCTAGTTAGAAAAACAGATAGGGACAAGCGCCTGAAAACTGCTGTAGGAGATGTAAGACAATGGTTGTAGTCTAGGTAGGTGTCAGAGGGGTAATCCCCAAATGTTCAACTTGCTTTTTAACCGATGCCCGCTGTGGGCAGGATAGGGATCCTTAATTGCCTTGCTGTTCTTTAGTTTCAGCACCCCAGCTCCAAGCAGTCGGCCCCAGCCTTGCGGCCCCCTCACGGTAGTGAGGAAGGTATGGCAGGCATAGCTGTGACGCCAGAGTGGTGACTTATTATGTGAGCTGTAGTCTTGGGTAGCCATGATAGTAGGTTTGCGGGTGTCAGCCTCCGTTGATCGCTTCATCGTGGCATGCGGTGGCTTGGTACGCCTCGAGCTCCTACACCATAAGCTGGCTCATCCCGGGGCCGGAACCCTGATCCTGAGTTGGGTCTTAGCAGACACCTGCAGTCATTCGTGTGCAATCCGCCAATGTGGAGGGAAAGTCTGTCTCTCTTCTGGCATTGGTGGCTCGCCACGCGGGCTCCACCATTTTGGATGTGGCCTCTAAGCCCCTGGTTGACATTGCTGCAGCTCGGAGCGCTGGTATTTTTGCATGCATTGGGGCCCCAGGGTGAGCACCAGGATCACCCCCACCGGTCTAGAGGGGATGGGGGGGGACATAGCCAGTTCCACATACCCTCATGCTTCTGGCATGATGCGGTTAGGTAGGATAGCAGTGCAGCGGCCGTCCACCCCATTCACTGCCTAAGTGATCCTCATCTTGGACGTCGGAGAGCACCCCTCCAAGGGACTAGAACTAATTAGGAAGCTTCGCCACGGAACCAGGATGCCTTCTTGCACTGGGCCGCAGCTTCCAGTTGTCAGGTAGGTATTATTTCAGTGTTTATTGGGTGAAAATATATAAAGTTGCAGGAGCTGCTCTATTGTGTAATTGTTTAGCATGGTGGTCCGGCCCCGGACCACTTAATTTTTAATCCGTACAGTGTGTTTACTTTAGAATAATTTTATCTCCTGCTTCGTTACTTGAACTTTAATCACACACAGGAGGCTCCTGCATTGTCTAAAAGGCTATTAACAGAGCAGGAGATACGAAATCTTCAATAAAACAGACTGCGCAATAAAGGAGGTTTAAACATTAGATCTCACATTACAAGAAAGTGTATGGAGATAATGTAGGTCACATGTAGGTGACATGTGGCTAGGGCTGCATAAACAACATAGAATTGCCATTTAGTTAGACTGCAGGGCATGATCTATGCACCAAAACCACTCCATTAACCACTCAATTAAAGTAAAGTAGTTTTGGCGCTTATATTAACAATAAGATTTTGACATTCCACTAGGACAGGGGTGTAAAATGCAGGTGGCAGCCAATGTAGATTTTTTTTAACCAAGGACAGGTAAAGATTTGATGAGATGTAGCCAACTCTTGAAACTGGCAGGACAAATTAGTTGAGTAAATCAATATGGAAGACAAATCATGCAATTAAAAAAAGCCAGGATGGCTGCCTTAATTGGTAAACATTAGGAAAGGTGACATATTCTCTTTAAAATATGTGACTACCCTTCGAGCAGTGCTGAGAACTTCATTTTGTTGTTGCTCATGCATGTCCAGCTGGCGTTCCAGCTCTACTTCTCTTTGATCCCATGCCATCTGTCGTTCTTCATGAAACTGGAAAACATAAGTTGAGCATGTATCAATCATACCAAAACAAAACTGCTATAAAGAAAGATATTTAAACATCGCCCAACAGCAATACATTAGTTCACAGATTTGCCATTATAGCAAAAGAAGCAATGTAGAACACACACAAGGGTGGGTAATTCTGATCTAACACCTGGGAATAAGTGAAGTTCCAGATGCTGGGAAAGCAGTTATTTGGGGCATTTAGCCTTACCATGTGCAAACGTCAGGCCTGCTCCTGGGGAGGATAGGTTTCAAGGGGGCATTGTGTGGTCTGCATCTCTGGTGAGTGCAGACTACAGTAATCACTACCTAGTGTTCTGGTGCTCACAGTGGCAGGATTCCCAGCATGCACTCTGACTCACTGAGGACCAGACCATAAGGATGTGGTCTGCACTCATCAGAGGTGCAGATCTCAAGCTCCCACGCTAGACCACTGGGTAATTTAACCACAATGGACCACATACACCCTCCCTGTAGAAAGCTATGCAGGGAGGAGGTAAAACACAGCACACATATCTTACACACAGCAAGTAAACATCAAGCACACAGAGCCAGCAAATATATGCACATTACATACAGTCACCAAGCATTACATACATACACACACATTACACATAGCCAGCAAATATCAGATAGACACAAACGCATTGCACACAGTCAGCAAACATGTCACACACTCACATTTCACACAGCCAGCAAACCCTTTCTTCACACACATTGCACGCAGACGGAGTCAGCAAACAGCTAGTAAAAAAACTCACACACATATTAGACACAGACAGCAAAACTCTCTCACACACATTGCCACAGCTATAGCATGCAACATACACATTATACACAGCCTGCATGGACACACACATATTACACACAGTCACCACACACACTATATGCTGGTGCCCCAATCTGAAATTATTGTGTGTTTCAGGACACATAGATTGCCATGATGGATACGTAGACTGGGCAACCATTAGTCCTGTGGACTCAACCCTTCTTCTACGGCTGTCAACAAGAACTCAAATTCCACCAAAATGGACATGAAGGAAGGGTATAATCAGGCAAATCTTGGAAAGAATAGCCAATATGAGCGACTGCATTTTCTTAGATGCATATCGATTATTTTACTCTATAAATAATTTTCCACATGTTAATTTTTGGTGACAGGGTCACTTTAAAGCGTGGTATACCTAACTTTAACTAATCTGCTTCTAGCTCCCAGTGTCTGAATTTCTTTATTTTTTATTTGCTGAGTGGCCAGTTTTTCATAAAATTCATAAGAAAATGTAGTCATCACTTTACTTTATGTATAGAAGTCGCGTTGACAGGATAAACTTTGGGTAATGCTTAAAGCTAGCTTCTGTTTAAACTGTCAATTAGTGATGTCCCGAACGGTTCGCCGCGGACTCATCATTGAGTAAACTTTGACCCTGTACCTCACAGTCAGCAGACACATTCCAGCCAATCAGCAGCAGACCCTCCCTCCCAGACCCTTCCACCTCCTGGACAGCTCACTAAGAATGCAGCTTCACAATGAATGTAAAATGGATGCTGTCCAGGAGGTGGGAGGGTATGGGAGGGAGGGTCTGCTGCTGATTGGCTGGAATGTGTCTGCTGACTGTGAGGTACAGGGTCAAAGTTTACTCAATGATGAGTCCGTGGCGAACCGTTCGCGGCAAACTGTTCGGCAAACCGTTCGGGACATCACTACTGTCAATCAAATTTACTCACAAGCCATCAGTAAAATCAATCCCACAAAAAGCAAACAGACAGTATGGACATAGGAGAAAAGAATGTATGCACCCAAGTAGTTAGATCAGGCACAAGGCATAAAATAAAATATAATTATTAAAATGCAGGGACATAAGGAATACCACAAACAAAACACAAAACAACCAGCATTACAGTGCCACCTAAAACATTTTGACCCTAGAGAAGAAGTGACAGGTCAGTTTTAAAAGTCGAATCATTTCCTTTCATATTAACCAAAATATTCCTGTGCATTTTAATTCTGTACATGAGCAATATTTTTCTTTTATAGTTGTAGAGCACGGTATCCCATGTATCAATGCATATGTCCAAACAGGGATGGGGCTACAGCTTTACTATCTTTAAGTAGATACTAAGTAGATACTATAATAGAAACTACATCCCAAACATTGATACCTAGCAGGATATCATTAAACAATTCACTTAATGAGTGACACCGTTTTAACTCTGAATCCGTTGATTCAGTTCATAAGTTTGAAAGACATTTTATACTCATGTAAAACTACAGAAAATATAATAGCAAAAAACAAAACTGCCTTATCCCCCTCTCTGTATTATGATTAGTCACACTTAGAATAACAGAACATTTACTTTGCCTTGCTGAACCACTTCTTCTTCCAGTGTGTCTATTGTACGTTCCTGCTCAGAGATTATATTGTTTAAATATTTTATCTCCTCTTTCTTTTGGTTTAGCTCTCGAGTCAGCTTCAGTTCCTGCAGACGAAGTTCTTCCATTTTCTTATGCCATTCTGTAACCTGTAGAATGAATTTATATGTCCTTTTGGTTAAGACTGCACCATTGCAAACTGAAAAATTAAAAAACAAAAAAAACAACAGCAACCACAACAACAACAAACAAAACGACATGCTCAGTCAATTAATGCAGTTTAATTATGGATGGAACTAATATTGCTAATGCAGGATTAAAATGAGGGGCTGGGCCACAGTTGTCTTAAAAAAATATTTTTACACAGAAATGGTTCCAGCGTCATATTCTGCAGTCGCTTCCATAAATTCCTTTTAAGCAGACACATAGCGCTTTGCAGCCTCTTATGCCAGAAGTTTAAAAACATGTTGACTCTAGGGGTGAATCTACTCCATCCAACCTTTTCTCTTATTTGGCTCCACAAAATCTAGCTCTTACTTTTCCAATTTTGAAACCACTTTTTAATTAATTTGGTGAGCATGATCATGTATTTAACAAAAAAATTGTCTGTAAATAGAGATTCAATGTTATGATTCAGTGCTATTTTTAGTTGTACCTTTTCTCTGTCCGTAAATAATGCTAATAATTTCTAAGCTTCAACTATTTCTGCAAATAACTCAGACACCAAAAATGCACCAAATTCTACTTTCAATGTCTATTTTTAATTATCTTGTTGTAGACCTACATCCCATGTATTAAATAAAAGTTATACATTACCTTTCATTTGATGATGGAAGAATTCTTGGATTTAAAGGAGATGAATAAAGCCTACCTTTTGAGCTCCCCGAGCATCTTTAAGAGTTCCGATTAACTCTTCCAAACTCTTCAGCTTCAGTTCTAACTCCAGTGCTCGTGTCTCTGCTTCCCTGTGTTCTTTTTCAACCAGTTCCTTTTCGTGCATTGTCTTAAGTTTATCATTCTGCAATTGTATCAAGGTTTTGGAGAATTTCTCCTGCTGGACTAAAGGAAGAGCCCCACTAAATTGGCGCCTTAAAGACTGGACAGTTTGACGAAGGTGTTTGGCTCTGTTTCTTCCTTCTAAACGGGCAAAATACAAAGCCTGCTCTTTATCATCAATCTTCTGCTCAAGGCGTAAACTGTAGGCTTCCAGCTTGCGTAGTTTGGTTACTGCAGCTTCCAATTTGCCTACAGCTGTAGATTCGCTAATTTGAAGAGCAACAATTTGCTGATGTAATTTGGCGATTAGTGCTTTTTCATCTGTTTGATCCTGAAATTAGTCAAAGATTAAGAACTAGTTGACAAGAAAATAAAAGGAATTATTTAATCTAATACAGTTGGCCTAAGTACAAGGCCTTGCAAAATCCATTGGCATATTCTAAATTACAAAAATGATAACACGATAAAACACCAACTGTTGCAAGTAAATTACCAACCTATAAATAAAAAGTATAAGTGAATAAAAACAATTATAAAAATACAAAACAAAAACTCATCCTGCTTGACATTTAAATGGTTCAATAGTTCTGTTGCTCAGTTTCTGCAGGTATCGTGTCCCTTGTCCCCCATAAAACCATTTGAATGTGGTTTGATCATTCCCTCTATAGCTGATTGGATAACACGTGCACATCAATATCAATTTGTCCAATCTATATGAAAAAGATAAGTTGAAAGCACTGAGGTTAGTCCAATGCTCTCAGCTCATCACTTTTGAACCCTTTAATAATCGAACGGTGGTGGGGGGTCAGGGGTTCAGGGGGAGTATAAATCAAAAGACAGAGAAACTAGAACAGGTTTGTATTCCTAATGCTATAGTGTACCTTTAATACAAAATGTCAACAGCTGGCAATAAATTCAGAAAATAACAATACTTGTAAAGTTTCAGTATGCTTATTCTGCAAAATGGTACAATTTATGTTTTAAGACAAATTTAAGGTTGGAAAAAAACAAAAACAAATGAAGGAGAGAAAATAAATTATATTTGGATGAATTTATGCAGTGAATATAACATTATGAAAAAGTATTTGAAAATCATGAAGGATGGCTTGAAGTTTCTCTAATGAAATATTTATTGTAATTATGTAACATTTTGCAGTCTAGTTATGGATTTTAGAGTGTGTCTCATTTCAGATTCTGGCAGCTCTATTGATTTTGTAGGAGCAGGCAATATGAATTCTGAGACATTTCAAGTGACTAAGAAAATGTTTCATAGAAATAATCATGTAAATAGAATCTCCTTAATCACAAAGTACTGCAACCACTCCATCAAATACATATATAGGATACCTGATAGTCCAGAACTTGCTTTCGCAACGATTCCACCTCTTTTTCTCTGGACTGCTGACGAGCTACTAAAGTTGAAACTTGCATTTTGGCTATGTCAGAAACACTGCGAAGTCTAATATAACAAAACAAAAGATCACTAATTTAGGGCGGTTTTAACTGACAAATCATGTACTTTAACGTGTTGGGCAAATTTTCATGTATCACATTTAAAATAAACTTTTTAATGTTTTGCTGAATTGTCAAAATAAAATAAATACAATATTGTGTTTTGAAGCTTTGTTTGTATTTGTGGTTCTGATACTAAAACAAACTAGTACACGACATTTAAGTGAGTGAATTGGGGGGGATCTAGAAACTATTATAAAGTATTACCAATGGATATATATATATTTATTTTTTTTTAAGTCTAACCATTCCCCCGCTGATACATTTTTATTGGCAAAAGTTCAAACTTAGCTATAAACTTTGTGCTTACCCATCTGGGTACCTTTTGTCTATTGTTAAACATGTTACCTTGACAAAGCATACACTTCAAAAACATAATAAAAAGAAAACATTAAGGCAGGTTTGGTACGACCTAAAAATATTTCTTTGCCATGTGTGCCATATGTTGCCATAAACTGCATTTTGTAACCGAAACCAGTGTGTGTCTACCTTCTATCTAAGAGAGCCTTGGAGTGGTGGTGGGGCTTCGATCTGAACAGCAATATCAAAAATTGCACTTCATAACTCAGCACCTACTTGGAAACTTCAACTTTAAGCTCAGCTTCACTTTTCTCCAGGTCCGTGATCCTTCTCCGATCTGCTTCAGACACAGCTTTACTGACACTGCTTGCAAGCTCGTCCCTTAATGCTTGCTCCACCTTCTGGGCTTCCAGATTGATCTTAGTGAGCTGCAGATACAGAAAGTGAGCAAATGATCAGAACAATATGCATCGATCAAGTTCACTACAAGCACAGATTAAATTGTGTTTATGAAATTGTTTGCAACCAACTGGATAGAGTGCGGCAAGTGTGTAAATCAGCTCTGATAATACAAACAGCTACGTAGAAACACAACCAAGTAAGTCATCATCTAACCAATCAGGTGGGGTCACTTGTAACTAACTAGTACACACAATTAGAAAGAGGGGCTTCTGGGAACTGCTAGTACTGCTGAGAACCGAGATACATATATTTTTTGTACTTCTATGGTTTTTATATAAACCTTTTAATAGTTTACTTTAATATTTGTATATGATGTGCTTTTACAATTCTAAGCAGTACGCACAAACCTCAAAAAATAACTGTGGTGTAGTCAGCTAAGCAATACTTTTTGAATAATCACAAAATCCTTTAAGCTCAATTCTAAGCAGATTTTAGGCTTTAAGAATAATATGACATGCTGTACAGAAATGTTTCTCAGGCTTGCTACACTATAGTCTGTAATTTGACTTTAACTAAATGTGAGCATAATGTTTTGTTTCTTTTTAAATATTAATTTTTCTAATTGTTGGGCAATGGTGTTTGGATTAAACCCTACTGATTGCATCTATTACATTAATAATAATGCCGGGTATTCTGATACTATTCTATATTATAGGTCCTAACCCAAGAGCACAAACATAACCACTCTCTTGAGCAAAACATCAACATATTAAGGCAATCAGACCACCAAAATTAGTAATTTTTTAACAAGAGGAGATCTATTCATCAACCTCCACTACACAAGGTCACAGAGAAGCCATTTTAGAACCCTGATATTGGTTATTTGCTTAATAATTTCTAGTAAGGCAGCAGCTGCCCAATCATTAATACACATCCACTAAACAGTGTGATTGAGCTTTAGTATCAATGGAATATAGATTAGCTGTCTCTGGACCCACCATCCATCTCATGCAAGTTGGTCTTAAATAAA